CCGCTACGACGGTGTTTTCACTCTGAATTTGTGGCTTCTGTCTTCTTCCTCTTCTTTATTTTTTTAGAGCTGTAATGCTAAGATATATACTCCATTGATCTAAAATTAGAAACACCACCACAATTTTGGAGCCAGGTTTTGACGGCAACGATAGGTCCATTATAATGGATTTTAGCTCCCCTTCCATGTTAATGGAGAGGCTCGTGAACTTTTACAAAAGAGATATGGAAAAAGAAGATGATTATAGGACACTGGGAATGTGGCCAGGATAAAATGTATTTATTTAAAAAAATATATATAAGGAATAAGATATTATACTTATTTTTCATGTCTATTTTATCTACTCTAATCTGGAAAGAGAAATGATAAAGGTGTAGAGATTGTGATATAAAGAGTGTTAGAGAAAAATAAATGAAATAGGTATGAAAAAAGATAGGTATAATATTTTTATATAAAAAATAAATAAGAAATACAAGCTAAACCACAAAATTTGGAGTGATTAAAATCAAAATTTGATATTACTTATGCAAGATCATATGGGCCATATGACAAATATGATTGGATAATCCTTTGACACATAAGTATTTAGCAGCTGTACATTGACGGCAGAAATTAAGAGCATATACCTTTAGATAATAAATAAGAAGTATAAATAAAAAATCCAAATTTAGAAAAAAAATTAAAACCAAAATTATTGTATATTTATAGAAATAAAAAAACATATTTACACCTTACATAAAAAGGAAAAATAAGCTGCAAAGTTTATACCTATGCGTTTTTGAGCTGATTCAGGAGGCCGCGCCAAGATTAACTTGCACGGTAAGTGCCTTCCCAAAAGTTGAATCATTCAATGAAAGCCCACAATGACACAAACAGTGGTTAAGAACCTATACCCCTACTCTCGCAAATCGCAACCCAAGATCTGAACAACCTACTTAAGAAATCAATCATGTTGCTTGGTCTTTACTTTTCCTACTTTTACTTCTTTTTTTTTTTTTTTAATTACCTAGGTTTCTTGGCCTTCTTCCCTTTTCAACTGGATTCGGAAACTATAAACAAAAAAAGAGTGAGACAGCAGTAATTAACAGAGAAATTAATTTCGTGTCTCCTTTATGGTTGTTTCCCCAACATGTCATATAGGGAATGTGCCCTCTTTACGTTACAGATCCTTGCTCATGGTTTTCGTGTTGCACTCTTTTTTTATTGTTTGTAGGTCAGTGGACCACCCTTCAGGCCAGAAGTTTTGCCACGGACTTGGTGGAACTTTCGTCACCTCAAGGCTCAAAGTCTTATCATTTGGTATGCATGTTCCGAAGATATAATTGTCTTTCAGATTCGGAGTATTTGTACTGTCTTAGGTACTAGATTAAATCTGATGTAATCTACGTATAGTTAGTTCTTTAAGGTCCCTCTTCTTTGTCAATCATTTGCAGAAACGGCTTTCTCTCAAAGCAACAAAAACCAGAGCACCTTATCAGATGAACTTTCAAGATTCATGAATCAAACCAAACGCTGGACTTTGAGTTGGAATTTAGAAGTATCTATGTCCTATACGTATGAAAATATTTTTAATGTATCAAATTCATCACTAATCTAATTGAGAACAACAAGGTTATCTTCTAACCTTATTTTTTTTTAATCTTTTCCGATTTGGTTAAAAAACATATAGTTTTCTTGTGAAGAGGGATAAGCATCTATGAAACACCGATACTCCGGATTTTTTTCTAACGTATCGGATATGCGTATCGCAAACGTATCGGAAACGTATTATATCGTATCGACGAATTAATGATCGTATCGAGAACGTATTTGGAACGTATCGAAAATGCCGTGTCGGAGTCGGTGCTTCATAGATCAGCATTTTGTGACAGCGGGAAATGTGGGAAAAAATCTAATATACTATGGTTATATGTACATCTCATCAATAGAAGCACAATACATCAGCTGACATATTTCTTGAAAAAAAAAATTAATTTTAATATTATAATTATATATTCTTTAAAATATATAATTTATAATTTTACTTTTAACTACCGTGTACCTGGTGTTCAATACGACAGTAGTTGAAGATGTTATCGAACCGTGGAGGTTTGAGATTTCGGGAAGTAAACAAGGACATGATTAATGATGTTCTTGTTACCTCGATCATGTGGAGATGCATAACATGGTCAATGAACAACACTGTACTTTTAATAAACCCCACTTATTCAGTCAAATACCGCATCAATGCGCATGGCTTGTTTGTTTCCACAAGTCTATGTGATCTCTCTCTACTCTATGACGCCGAAGAAAACAAGTGATGCAACACTATAGAGAAAAACCCTAACGAGGCAGGGTACTGTTACAAGTCAAATGAGGTAAAAAAGAAACATTGACTTGATAAAGTTCTTTTTCCTTCATCCATATGAGAAAGAATCCTTCTGGCAAGCATGCTTTTCACACTCCTCTCTTTCTGTGCAAGTGATAAGTCTGACTATGAGTTGAAACATGCATGATGATTAAGTTATGGGAGCACGCCTAATCATTATGTCGTGCCATTACTTGAAAGGAATTTTTATTCTTGACTCCGACACAAGAATTTCATCTGTCTACAATATTGAATAACAGCCACATAAATAAAATCTTGTTACCCTTAAATGGTATCCATGATTGGTTGCTTGAGATTTGCTTTCTTAAGGGTATATATATAAACCATCATCGTTTGAAACACGTCATTCAGTGTCACATTTGAATGAATGCCTCTATTTGGGACCCGGTTATGTTGAAGCAGTTTGAGGACCCTCTTTGACCGTGCGCGCTCTGAGTTTGCTCTTGCTACCTCTGAATCTCCACGTAGTGCGTTTTACCACGAAGGCGCATGTGGTAGCTACATAGGAATGTCTTATCGGGGGAGCTGAGAAGCCATCTTCATACACAGGTATGCGTTTAAGAATGGAACAAAATGTTTCTTAATTACGGTATTAGTTTTGATATAAAACGGCATTTTTTATGAATGCCATACCAGTTTGGTATAACTATTCGCCAATAGAACTCAGGATTTGTTCTCCAAAAAAAAAAAAAAAAAAAAGAACTCAGGATTTTACCTGCCCAAAAGGTACTAGGTTTGGTTAATGAGAGTCGAAACTTAGGAAGAGTATATAGATATTCAAACCCGAAATCGGATTAATCGAGTATATTAGGACTTCGGACATATCTACCAAAAAATAATAATAATTCCGCCAGTGCTATTAACGCCTTCGCATGCATTCACGATTTATTGGATCGTCTTTGGTATATTGGCTCGCAGTTGCACTTCCATAGTTTTGTAGCCATTACTTTTGCATTGCTTTAGGCTACAGAATCTCAGGTTAAGCAGTGCCAACCCTTATTGAATTACATGCATTAATTGTCACACTACTTGGATGTCGCTTTAGTTTGTGCTCTAGCTAGTTTCATACAAATATAAATACATAAAAAGACTTACCTCGATCCTATCCACTTGAACTGATTACCCCAATGTAAAGAAGAATTCATCTTGCACAGCATTTATGCTATAATGCCATGGCATCTTTTATCTTCTCCCGAAATTTGTTAATGGCGTTGAGATACTCCACCAGTTCTTTATTATCCTTAAAAAATGAATAAATAAACAAGACTTAGGGTAAATGGCTCCATTTACAAGTGATCAAACATTTGCTAGGATGGAAAGTTTAGGTGAACTTATACAACCCTAGTAAGCACGAATCGTAAGATGGACTAATAGTTTACTGCTTCATAGATATTATTTAAAAATCTTGTCTTGGTATTAAAACATAATTTAATAGCATATTCGTAATTAATATTTAACATTTTAACTTTATAACAAGAAAAAAATTACTAAATATAATATTTGACGAAATTGTTATGTTATACATAGCCCATCACTTCATTGTTTTGTAGTTTAACAAAGCAGAAAACAAATAACAATGAAACTTAAAAAATTACCTTTATGAACAAAATATAAATTACAAAACACAGGAATTGAACCTATGTAACCAACGACATAAACCAAGGAAATGTTATATTTACAAACTTTTTGTTTACAAACTACACTATGACCGGTCATACTTCAATCAAAAGTGTATGACTGATCATACTTAGTGTAATTTGTAAAAAAAGTTTGTAAACGGATTTTTTCCCCATAAACCAAACTACACATTTTGAGGTTATGACAATGTACAAATCCAGCTTGGAAACTAAATAGTAAAATTGACAGTTTACCAATTCGGTGAAAGTTTCCTTGAATGATAACCAAAGTAGGAGTTGACATGCGACTTAATCAGTATTGTGTCATAACAACATAAACACGTTAAAATTTTAGAGTTAACTCGAGACCTTAACTGTGCTTGAAATTTTGCATTATTTTAACCTATAATCAGGAAGTATATAAAGAAGTTGCCCACCCAAACGAACAAAACTAATTAAACAAGACACGTATAGCTATGTTTTCCAATCAATGACTGGTATTAAAAATTTCACATTTCTTATATGCTATATATGAAAATTGCACGCTTGCAAAAATCAGCAATGTTACAATCACTTCAATTAATTGGCTATTTCAGGCACAACTGAGTACGTACATACATATATACATATATATACATATACATATATATATTTACATATATATATATATATATATATATATATATATATATATATATATATATATATATATATATATATATATATATATATAACTTTAATTTGTAAACGCAAATTAAGATGTAATGAACAAATTATCACTTTTTATAACATTCACAGAACTCGTCCCACAATCACTTCGGGCAACTGATCCATTGCCTAGTATTAGTGGATACATTTGGTCCATACTTCACACTCTAGAGGTTCAACATCTAAAGATATATAAAATATATGGGTTTATTATGTACAGCAACACGTAGCAATACTCTGGTCTTTTTTCCAACATTGAACTGTACTTCCTATAATTAGTATGCATCTTCTAGTTACTATATAAATTTTCACTTCCACATGTCAATCTGGGAACTGGAGGTGGATGTTGAAGCATATTCCTGGGAAATTTGTGCCCTTTTGGATCCGTTTGCAAGCATAGTGATTTGTTCAGCAACATGTAGGACAGGTGCATTGGAAAAACTAGTTTCCTTCGAAACATCTTGGTCGTGACTGAGCTGAGAAGCAACAAATTTGTCAAGTACTCGCCAATCTGTCACTTGGTCCACCGCTTGATCATTGCTACCATAAAGCGAGTTCAGATTTTGTTGTTGGCAATGTTGTACCTGTTCTTCTTGAGTAAGTGATGAGAACTGCAAAGTGCTTCCATTGTTATTGCTATCATAACCATAAGGGACAACTGAGCTGCAACTCAAACTGATTGCTGATTGAGAAATTTTGGGGCTTTCTAGTTGCGGAAGATTGAGAAAAGCATCATGGGGTATATTGTATTGCAATTCCAGCTCCGGTTTGCAAGGGTGGTGATGGTTGTATGATACATAAGGGTGAGAAATCCGCCTCGGGGATTCAAGATCTTGCATGAAGGAAACTTGGTCTTCATACCAACAAGGTTCTCCCACTTTCTGCATTGTTGTCAATCGCTTCTTGAACACTCTGCATACAACCCACCCTTCTTCCTGGAGCAGTAATAAAACTTAAACCCTAGCCTTATTATTTCAACTAATAATCCCACATAAAAGCAGAAAATCTGTATAAATTAAGATTGGCGACATCTACAAATGTTATTTTGACATAATCATTAGAAGTTCAGAATTTTGATGGAGGAAATGTTGGTTTAATTATTAGGACTTTTTATAGTTCCTTATTTATTATTATTATTATTATTATTATTTTGAGATAAATTTATTATTATTTTAGAACAACTGAATATGAACACCTGCTGTGTGAATTAATTCGTTGAATTGCATGTAAATTATCCATACTTTTTTTGTGTGTGTGTGAAATGATTCCACCGATCTAGAAACAATTCCAGGATCGCAAATAAAGAAATAAGAGTTCTCATGTGTGAAATAATTGTTTATACTAAGTGTACATTCTATTAGGCTAGAATACTCATCATTGTTGAGGGTTTTTATGGTAAATCTATTTATTGCGGTGGTAAAGGAGATATATATATGATACCAATTACTTGGATAAATTGGATTAATGCTAGTATACTAGACAAAAAGTAGAAGTGAACAGGAAGCCTAAAGTCATGTGTGCATGATGCAACCCAAGTCTTTATAATTTAATTGAAATTAATTTAATATATTAGCCAAAAGAAAATCTCCCCTAATTTTTACCCTTACAAAAATCCAATATGCGGCTGTTTACTAGTTAATTTTTGTAATTTCTTGCGAAAGTACATACTAGTATCCGATCCCATGCATTGCATGGCTATTTCAAATTAAAATAGAAATATTTAAATAAAAAATGTTTAAAATTATAGAGAATGTATTCATAATAAAGTTATCAAGAATCTAAAAAATTGATTAAAAGAAAAAATTTAAAATGATAAAGAAGAAGTGAATAATAAATTCAAAACAATTTGAATTTGAAATTTGAATATAAAGAAGTGGAACAACTGAGATTTAGAGAGAAGAACAAATTCTATTCTTAAAAAATTATACTAAAATAAATGAAGAGATATGCAGCTGAAATTTGAGAATTTTTTTTTTATGTAAACAGGAAAATTTGAAAATAATTTTTGGTAATATAAGTAATCGATATTTGAGATTTTAAAAACCATGAGAACTATGTTTCAAACATCATTGAACTTGTGTCTTAAGAAGAAAAAGAATATAATACGAGATTATCTTATTGAGTGTAGACTTTATTTTATAAGCTGATACATAATGCTAAATTAATAATTATCTTATAGAAAACAAGATTTCTGTTTTCTAAAATTGTATCATACCAAAAAATTAATTTATATAGTTATATGAATTTTGCTTTAGTTGACGTGTGCAAGAAAATTTTGTGTGACTTATTAGACAATTGAAGGAATACTTGAAAATATTATGAAATAATATCTATTTCGAAAAGTAATAACAAATGATAATATATAGGACTTAGCTTGACAATGTGCGCTGAAGGACTTGAAAATAAGATTTTGATATCCATAATTCTTGTATGTTTTAATTTTTATAATTTTTAATTTCAATATTTTATTATTATTTAGGTTCTAGTCATTAAAAAATAAATACTTTAATAAGTAAATAAATTATGAAAATCAATACTTTAATAAAATAGAAACTATAAATCAAAACATAAATGAGTGAAAAATTATGAATGACACGTTAATGGTAGGGGCCAAGGCCTGAAAAAATTAAAAATACAAGAATGAATATCTAAAGAAAAAATGAACTAAAACCCAAATGGGAAGAAATTATAGAAACTAAAATCTTATTTAACCGAAAGAGAGGGGAGAAAAATAAAAATTGTGGTGCTAATTACCTGAGGAGTTCCATTTTCATTAGTTTCTAGCCTGTACTCATGCATGATCCAATCAGACTTCTGTCCATTTGGGGCTCGTCCTTTGTAAAACACTAGAGTCTTTCTCATCCCAACCAGGCAATGCTTAGAGTAAATTGCTTTATCTCTTCCTGTGGCTTTCCAGAATCCTGCTTTTGTAGCTCTATTGGTGCGTGTTCCAGTTGGGTACTTCTTATCTTTATGACTAAAGAAATACCAGTCACTTTGTTCATCCGTTCCTATTTTGCATAATTCTGTTTACAAAAGTAACAAATGTGAGTGTATATATTCTATGGTCCCTTTTTTTCTCATGTCGCAAGAATTTGAAATTTTCCAACAAACCATATATTCCGAGTAATATATAATTATAATATAAAAAAATAATAACTTTTAATATGTACATAGTTATAAGATGTATGCAAAATAAAAATTTTAATATTATAACTATGTACTACTCAGAGTACATAGTTTGCAGGAGAACTTTAAATTTCTCAGAGACTATTATCCCATATTGTATACCATGATATGTTCTTAAATTTATGTAATATATGATGCTTTAATTTAGGCTTTGTAAGAAGGCTTATACCTTGAAGGTCCCATGGCTCAATTTTATAGAGATCAACATCTTTGATGACATCTAGATCAATCCTTTTAGACGCTACCTTTTTCCTAAGGTAGTAATCGACAAGTTCTTCATCAGTCGGATGAAACCGAAAGCCTGGAGGTACATGTGAAAATGTGTTCATATCCGCTTTCAAAGAATTCAAACCTGTATTTGAAGAAAAAAAAAATAATAGGATCACCTTTCTTGTAAATATACAGTTTATCGTTTTTTTTCCTCCTATATACAATGAATAGTTTTGCTACCACCTTTTTAGAAGGCTCACAGTCGATCACCCCGCTTTTAATGATAATATATGTCAGAAGTTACATATGCATGTGCTTTAAATTTTAGAATAATCTTCGAAGCAACATTGCTACAGAAGTTAGGCATATATAATACATTAAATATTTAATGGAGTACATGATCAAGAATAAAGATAACACAAATTGATCCAAACTCATTACTTGCTTCTAATCCTCCTGACATAACATGAGATGTGTTTTATAATCAGAACAAAGGAGAACATTGAACAATCATAGTGCTGAATGAAGATTCAAAGAAGTTTAAAAAGTATAAGTGAAACATAAAAAAAGAAAAGAGAAATACAATTAGGGCTCGTTTGGTGGATATGATATGATAAGGGTAGGATAGGATATGGAGCTGATAAGGGTAGGATATGATATAGGACTGATAAGGGTAGGATATGATATAGGACTGATAAGGGTAGGATATGATATGACTCATATGAGGCTGATAAGCCTATATCATGTCCTGTATTTGATGAGCACCTGAGCAATCTGATAAGATTATGTAGAAGGAGAAAGGAAAAATAAAAAAAAATAAAATAAAATATAATGCAATAAATACAAATATATTGAATAGCGTGAGAATATATTTGGTAGCGTGAGGCTATATGGGTATTCAATATTGGTATCGTATCATGTTGGATCTTAATCCAACTCCTCCCATAGGATAAGAAATCATGTATTGGATAGGATAAAATGAGACAATAGAATAAGCTAATCATATCCTATTGACCCACCAAATAAGAGAGAAAAGTAAGATATGATAAACTATCATATCCTATCTTCTTTATCAGGTGCTCCAAACACGCCCTTAAATAATACAAACTCAAAGTCGAAAAGCAAAGCAGATTAAGAAGGAAGAGTAATTCATGTCTTAGACACTATGTAGTACATTTGTTTTGTCTCAATGTCCATGTAATGAACCTCATATATAAAGCTAAAGATTGATGTGGAAACAATTATGTTGTACCCATGATGAACAAAAAGGCAAGCGAAACGCATGCATGATTCAGATAACGACAATAATCCTTATACTTTCTGGTAATTGTTGTAAATATCCCATCTGCAACTATAATTCACTCAAATAAATGGGAAAAAACGAGTAATACAAAATCGATATGAATTTATGGAAATGTGTACCACCGCTCATATACATTTTAATTAAATTCTTCCGCTGAAATGTTGTGGAATATGTATTTAACTTTTTTATTTGATAACATTATAGTCTTCTTAATTATACTATCATAAGAATAAAAATTTAAAACGTGTATTGAATCAACAAGATTATTGATGACAAAGACACACATTTCGTCCTCCAGTTACTTGTACATATATTGATGTTGAAACTTTAGCAAATCCAACTTTAGGGCCGGGACTGAATCAGATATTGATTACTCTTCATTTACTTGGAGAATGAGAAAGCACTTGCACCCATTCTCGGTCCTCCTCCAATAAATCTAACCCCAGAAAACATAATATTATATAATATTACGTCATAAGAATTTTCAAAATAGACATAAGTTTCTTGTTCTATCCCCTCAGTACACACACACATAGGGGGAGGGGGGGGGGGGGGGGGGGGGGTTAATCAATTGAAATAAAGAAAATGATAAATAAGCAATAAAAATAGTAGAAGCGATGGTTTAAGTAAATCATTTGAAAAAAAAATTGATATATAAGCAATAAAAATAATACAATCGATGCTTTAAGTAATTGTTTCACATAAAGGCAAACGAGATATTTCATAACTTTACCTTGTGAAAAATTGGACTCATCTTTTTTTTTCCTTAAAGAAGAAAAACTACACTAGGTTGTAACGCACGAAAGAGAAGGCACACTTTTCACAATGCAATTATGGGGATGGTATGAAGCAGGGAATGATGTTGTAGGATATAGCACAAAGCATTAAGCTTTTCCAGCCTACAAAGAGGTCGATAGAGCACTCAAAGTAAGTTACATTTACATAATGGCGTAAATGGCACAAAATATATCAAATATAGAAGGAAAAATGACTTACAAGCTGCTTGTTCAAAAGATTTGAGAAAAGTATAATCAATTGCCAAAAATAGTGGTCTGTTCAGGTTGGATATGCAGAGAGATAAATGCTGTTGGGTGTAAAACCAAAAAGAAAAAGAAGACGGGGCCAAAGGTGAAAGCATGATTTGGAGGTTGGTGTGGATGAGATATAAATTCCAACCGAACACAGATCAAAGTCGTGTCAAAGATTTTATGTAACTGACATTCTGTCTTTTAGTTGTCTTTTTTTCCGTACTCATGTTCGTTGAATTATATAAATTTTTCCAACACTTTTGACACTTGGGTAAATAACTAGAAGCATCCACATGACAAAATATAAAGAAAAGAAGGTGAACTATGAAGCAAGAACCCAAACCCCATACGATATAATAGATCGATATGGAGAAATATATAAAGCACTATATAAAGAACATTTTAAAAAGCTAACGGCAAAAGAACAACCTTGATATATAGTTCTAACCGATGATGTAAGGACTCCAAGTAGAATTCGTTACGGATCTGATGAAACCAACCTCGTTTGCAGAAATTATATGATCGGATACATAAGCTAGATGAGAAACTTGTTGAAGCTGTCTTTCATCAACAACTTTTAGTCAGTAACTTTGGCAAATCTCCAACAGAACCAGACAAAACAAAAACAGCACTGAATAATAGGCAGGGAGACACAAGCGGACAAAACAGACAAGAAAAGAAAAGTGGAAAGTTAACTGTGATCCTCGGGAATTGAACTGAATCCCTTCCTTGCCCTAACTGCTTTGCTTTCACGAACTTGTGTCTAGTAGTAGTTGTTATCCTCAGAGAGAGAGAGAGAGAGATCAGATCCCGAGGATTGCTGAAAAAGAGAAGAGAGGAAAGTGAAGGAAAAGGAGAGGTTTAGAAGTGGATGAAACGATGGAAATATGAGAACCCTAATAAATCATCCCATCTCTAAAGTTTCTCTCTCCTTATCTGTTGAGTGGGAGCTAGCTAGATTGCTGGAAGAGGTGACCCCAAAAAATTGATAAAAGGGTGGAGCTAAAACGGTTTAAGAATGAGAGAGAAAAAAGAGAAAGAGAAAAAGATGTCAACCTCCAACTCCACCCACCAGCAACTGATAGAGACGAGAAAAGAATGATGTGGTGTTAACGTTTGAGGCATCCGGGGCCGGAGAAAGAGAGAACGCAACAAAGATCAAACCGTGACGACGAATGGGGGGTTCTTTAAAAAAAATAGTCCCAAGTTTCTATTGAAATATATGAATGAATAAAAATTATGATAATGATAGGCAATCGATGAAGGAATTTTCTTTTTTGTTTTTTTAGGTGGTGTGACCCTTGGTTATAACACCTTCCCTCCCGCCAAAAGTTACACTATTATTCTCATAACATTCCTTTTATTTATTTTTTCATCTTTACTGTTTAGTAGTGTGTTCATGGGTTTTCTAGTTGAGTCCACACCGCGTGGTGTGCACGGTCAGATTTAAAGCAATTCTAGTAATAATCGTGATTAATAGTATAGGGATATATATATGCGGGTTCTTCATTTCTTCAAAACATGTACCACGTACGATGCTTTATTGTTTTGTCCTCAAAGAATGAATGATCATTTGTATAATATAAACCATATATTAGTAATGAAAAACTAGTCATGAATATAGTAAAAGCGAAGGTTGATCAATTGAACTCAATGGCGAGCTAAACTTCCAGTACACTCATAGGAAATTGCTTTACCTGAAGTATGTTGAAACCTTTTTAAATAAATAAAAAATAATAGCTATTCTTTCCCCCGTTGGTGTTTTGTCTTTGCAATTAGTTAATGAAAATATATATATAAGAAATTATATCACAAAGCCATCCTTGTGTTCAACATTTGATTTTCAAATATTTTCATTGCTTATGAACAGATGTTTATGTGTTCAAATGCATACATCTATTGATTTTAGCCACTATCATTATTTTTATAAGTGTTGCTGGTGTTGGTTATCAAGTTAGCTGGCGCACACCTTGGTAGCTCTTGCTCCTGCTGCGCGAAAATGAGGCATTGAACGAAGCAGTATCGCAGTTGTAGGTGCTCTTCAAAAAGTGCAAATAAATTAGTAATACACAGTGCTCTATGGTTCTAGAAAATAATAATAATTCCTTTTCTGTTGCAGCAAAGGCACGCGAGCTCTGGTTGGTTGGTCCGCAATATTTTTTTCCTTTTTTTATTAGATGCAATATTATATTTTTTCTTTCTCTACATTTTATTATTAAAATAAATAAAACCTGTTGTTAAAGCATCCACGAGCTGGGCCCACCAACCGACCCTAGGTAATACGATAGTGACAGCTCTCCAAATACACCTCCTTGTAAACAAAAAATAAAATATTATAGATTATCTCTTTTAAATAAAATAATTCATTTTAAGAAAAAGATATAAAATTAAAACCGTCAATTGAAAATTGATAAATTATATATTTCAATAACTTAATAACTTGTAATACATATAAATAAATTGTAAAGAATCAATTCGATAAAAAAAAAAATTATTAAGCAAAATTACGTTAATGATTTTATACTTCTTTAACATACTCCTCATATGAGAGTTTACTCGGCTAATAAACTTTATATTAATTAAATCAGAATCTACACAGAGAATCTGATATCATACAACGAGCCAATTCAATTATAGTAGTTAAAAACTCATTTTAAAATTGTGCTTTATGTTTTTATATATTTTTTAATCAAAACATTTTTATTAGCATTCCAAACACTTTTATTTTTTTTTGTTTTTTTATGATTTTTTTAATTATGATTTATGTTTTATGATTTTTTTTATTCTC